AGCAAGGGCCTACAATAAAAATAAATAAATAAATAAAAATTAACTTATATAGCCCAGCCAGGCATGGCTCAGGGTTGAGCGTCGACCTAGGATCCAGGAGATCGAGGTTCAATTCCTGGTCAGGGCACATGCCCGGGCTGCGGGTTTGATCCCCAGTGAGGGGCGTGCAGGAGGCACGCGATCAATGACTCTCTCATCATTGATGTTTCCCTCTCTCTCTCCCTCTCCCTTCCTCTCTCTGAAATCAATAAAGACATATTTAAAAAGAAAAAAGAAGCTCATGATTTGCTTGGCTGCTTATTTTTATAAATTCACATACTAAACACTGATAGAACGGAAGGACACTGCAAATTATCTATTCTATTCTCTCCCTCTCTCCCTTCCTCTCTCTGAAATCAATAAAAAAGATATATATTTTTTAAAAATTAATTTATATAAAAGTTAAAAGTTAAGGGTCTGCTCTCACTTATAGAAATATTATGGAAGATTGGTTAAATTTTAACCAATAAAACCTATAAAGTCAGAATAGTTTTCATTATTAGTGTATACCATTTCCTTGTCTTAAAATTAAACGGTCTACTATATATTCTTATTTTTTTTTTAATTAAAAAAAAATGACCTGCTATAATTACTACTTGAGGGCTTTTTTTCCTGAGGTTTTTTCCTTTGCTTAATCCCTTCACCTTCTCCACCCAGCCTCCCATTCCTCCTCCCCTCTGTGCTTCTAGGAATCTATCCAATNAAATTTAACCAATCTTCCATAAGATTGGTTAAATTTTAACCAATAAAACCTATAAAGTCAGAATAGTTTTCATTATTAGTGTATACCATTTCCTTGTCTTAAAATTAAAACGGTCTACTATATATTCTTATTTTTTTTTAATTAAAAAAAAATGACCTGCTATAATTACTACTTGAGGGCTTTTTTTCCTGAGGTTTTTTCCTTTGCTTAATCCCTTCACCTTCTCCACCCAGCCTCCCATTCCTCCTCCCCTCTGTGCTTCTAGGAATCTATCCAATCTATCCACATTGTCCAATTTGTTGGCATATTGTTGTGTGTGATATTTTCTCACAATCCTTTGTATTTCTTTTTCATTGGTTTCAAGGTCTCTTTTGAGTTTTTCCTTGATCTCACTGTAACCCATTCATTGTTTAGTAACATGTTATTTAGCCTCCATGTCTTTTTGTGTTTTTCAGTTTTCTTCTTGTGATTGATTTCCAGTTTCATACCATTGTGGTCAGAGAAGATGCTTGTTGTGATTTCAATCTTTTAAAATTCACTGAGGATTGTTTTGTGGCCTAACGTGTGGTCTGTCCTACAAAATGTCCCATGTGCACTTGAAAAGAATGTATATTCTGCTGCTTTGGGGTGAAAAGCTCTGAAGATATCAGTTAAATCTGATTTAGGTGTCATTTAAGGTCACTATAATTACTATTTAATCTTGTAATTATCATGTAATTGCTAATTTAATTACTATTATAATACTCCTAGAGGCTATTTTTAGGAATATTTCTACTCCAAAAGAAAATATAAAATATTATATAGATATTTATAAATGATAAGAAAACCAATTCATAAGTCTTGAGTCCAACAAAAATATTTGGTTTCAATGAAGCCTTGGCCAACTTTTCAGTTAGTAGATGTGTGACTTTGAACTCTGCACATCTCATTTCCTTTGTTAAGAGCTCTTCCATGAAAACTTTAGGAAAATTACAAGCTATCCATTGATAAGGTATTGCTGAAGTGAACATGGTTGACTAATGACAGATGCTCAATAATTTTGTCAGCTGACTTTGGGCTGCTCTCCTACCCTCAGGTAACTGGCACACCCAAATATTGCATTAGAAGCTCACTTCGGGTTGTCCTAACAAGTTTCTCTGAATTGAAATGAAGCCAAATGATGTAAAAATATGAGTCTTTGTCATCCAAGAATGTGTCACTGATACTTGCTAGATCTGGCTACTCCCTGTTATCCACCTTCTTTTTTTTTTAACCTGGCAGGGATGGTCTTTTAGGTAATTTAATTAAGTTTCATTTGGCAAATATTGTCTCTTCTTTTTGCCAGTTATTTTGTAAGGTATCACAGTGATCACACTCAAGTCTTTGCCTTTGAGGCACATATAGTTTAGAGAAGAAGACAGATAATTACAAGGGCAATTTCAAAACCTTAGGGTGAGTACAAAATGATAGGTGTGATAGGGCATATATTGAGGGACTCTCTTAATCCAGCTTTGTAGGGTCGTGGAAGACTTCCCAAAGGAGGTAGTCCAAAATGAGACATTAAAGTACGTAGAATTTAACTAGCATAATCACCATTGTCCTCTATGGTGCTGAACCTTGTGGTCAATGCTCAGTCTTCATCTTACTTAACCTATCAGCAGCCTTGACATAGTTGCTTACTTCCATACCTTTGTAAAGATCTCGTCACATTCCAGAACATCACTTTCTCCTGTTATCATCTACTCTCACTCAATCTCCCTTGTTCCTCAGATACTCTGAGGAATATTGGTGTACTCCTGGGCTCAATCCTTAGACTATTTATCTTATTACACTCAATTCCTTGATTACACATCCAGTTTCTTATATTTCATCTATGTGCTGATGATTTTCAGATTTATATTTCTAACCCCAAATCAAGAATTGTCTACTAAGTAATCTACTCAAATTCTCCACTTAGGTTACTAATGGATACCTCAAAGTTAACATATTCAAAAAATAAATGTCTAACACTTCATCCCAAAATCAGCTCTTAATGCAATCTTTTCCAATCTTAGTTAATAATAAATCCATACTTCCAATTACTCAGGACCAAAACCTTGATATAATCTTTGATTTCTCTCACTCTCTTTCATTTCACATAAATCTGTTAAAAAATTAGATTGAATTGAGCCCCCCCCCCTCTCTCTCTCTCACTCTCGCTCTCTTTCTCTCTTTCTCTGTCTGGACCATGCCCATGCCTTTCCCTCTCTCCTTTCCCCAGGTGCATATATCTCTGCTTTCTTTCTCCCAAGTTCCAAGGGCCATTCTTTTGCCTCTGTAATTTGTTTCCTGAGCCCGTGCAGCCCAGCTGGCTTACTTTTCCTATCTCTATGACTTTCTAAATAAATTTTTGCTTGTAAAAAAAAAAATCGTATCAAGTCTTCCTTAAAAATATATCCCAAATGGAATCACCTATGACTAACATCGTTACAGCAACCCTCTCCAAGATACCTTCATTGCTCATCTGCATTATTTTAATAGCTTCTTAATTTGTCTGCTTGCTTTTGTCTTTGCCCACTTGACCTATGTCTCCAACCAGTCTTTCTCCCCTTAGCTCACTCTGCTCCAGCTCTCATGGTCTCTGTGCTCCGGAATTTTTTTCAACAAGTCCTAATGGTTGATTTGGATATGAATGGATGAAGAGAAGGAATTAAAGATAATACCTGAATCCATGGCTTATCCTGCCAGGAGTCTGGTATTGCATTCACTAGGGAAGGGATCCTGGATGGAAGACTGGCTCTGAAGTTGATGGCAGGAGAGAGAATGAGCACAGTTTTGAAAATGTTTGAGTTTGAACTATCTCTGAGACATGTATAGAGACACAATAATCATTTTACATATGAGTTTAGAGATCAGAAAAGAGACCTGTACTGTGCATTTATAATTGGGAGTCATTACTGTACAGTAATGACTGGGGAGCAAGGTGGCAATGGAACAGTAGTGAATCTCTTATGAGCCAAGGGATAGACAATGCTTACAGCAGTTTCAAACATGACAAGATGAAACCAAACACTGCATATAACACAGAAAACCAGGAGACTGAAAGTATTCATTAGGACTCTTTTAGTTGAACATAACAGAATATCCTACTAATTATATAGCTTTAAAAGTAAGAATTTATTATCTACAAGACAAATTATCAGGAAGTGGGCAGTTCAGTGGCTCAGTGAGTCCTCCAGAACCCAGGCTTTTCCCCTCTGTCTACCCCTCTTTCTAGTGGGTTTTGTTCTCAGGTGTAGTTAACAAGTCTCACTGTTTCAGAAAAGTCAACTTATCTAAGCCTCACTATAACCAGCTCAGGCAGTTAGAACTGCTATCATCATTCCCAGTTTACAGATAGGAAAATGTCAGCACAGGGACAGTAAGTAACTTAACCAAGTCATAAGATAAAATATTGGGGGGGGCGGGCTGCAATTTAAACATCAGACTCCAGAGTTCATGTTCTCAACCATTGTTACACTACCTCTGCTTCTTACTTATCAGATGACTGTCACAGCTCATTCCTCACACAGCTCATTCAAGGGCTTGCCAATATCCCTCTACCAGAGTTCTCCTCGTGCCTTATTAGTCAGAACTAGGTCACATTTCCTCTCCTAAGTCAACCACTGGTAGTAGAAAATGGGATAGCTTTTCTTGTAATAGTGTCACTGTACATTACACTGTACATGGGGAGGGGGGGGATAGGGTTCTGTTAAAAAGAAGAGAGATGTGTTGGGGAGGAGATGCTACTATTATGAAAACCTAGGGAAGACTGCATTTTAAAAAGGAAATAATTAAAAATTTTGAAATGTCATGAGGAGGTTAAGGAAGATAAGACTTAACATAATTAGATTAAGTGACAAGATCACCCATGACCTCTTTGACAATAGTTTCTGAAAAGCCTGTGGGCAGACGAGATTGGGGTGCTTTGGTGAGGGATGAGCATACAAAGAGAATGAAACTATCTTTTGAAGCAGAAATGGAAAGGAGCAGTATAGTAATGGGGCGATGAAGTGGAGGTGGCTTTTCTTAATTTACATAAGAAACTGACTTGCACATACCTGAACGCTGATGGGAAGGAACGGGGAACAGGAAGCTGGGGAGGCGGCCTTCTTGGAAAGGAAGGAGACACTGAGGGGAAGGGCGTGTCAAGGATTTATCTCTTCCGTTGATAGGGGAGGAAGAAAGGAAAAATATATAGGCTTAAGAAAATTCGTAAATACATTAGGAATTTGAGGTGGCTCATATCTAAGGACCAGTCATGCACCTGGGTGGCAGCAGTCAGGGTGGCAGGACTTTTTTGGACGTGGTCCAGAGGTAAGTAAGTACTGTGGCAGCTTATCAAGGCTGCTCAGCTGGGGGGAGGCAGAAGAGGCTATAGAGGGGCAAATGGTGATGGAAGGAGACCACTCGGGGTGGTGAACACACAATACAGCACACAGACGATGTGTTATAGAATTCTATGCCCGAAACCTATGTAATTTTATTAAGCAATGACACTCCAATACATTCAATAAAAAATTTTAGAAAATGACTGCTCATGCAAATGCCCACAACACTAACAAGATTGATCCCAGTTGAATGTAGGACCTCAGATCTCAGTAACTGCCTTACCACAGATAATAGTTTAGGCACCTTCTTTTAGCACTTAAGACAAAGATAAATGTATTGCTATGTTCACTTTTTTGCATTGTGTCATGTATTCCTGATTAGATTCTATTCCCCTCACATGTGGGGCTTCCATTTTGCCGATTCTTTATATAAGACTATGTAAAAGAGGGGATAGCCAGTAAGTGTCAACTAACGAGGAACAGTGATAATGGTAGTTTTAGAATAAAAATATGACAGGCTTCATATATTGTCTTTATCATGCATGAAAAAATAGAGAAATGCCCACCATTACTGACCCTCATATTTTTTAACAATGATTCTGGGGTTTCCACATAAAGGTTAGAATTTTATAAATTAATTTTACGCGTGCAATAAATAAGTTCCTGCTGGCCAGTAGTCATCACACCTGTGCTTAGTGAGAGTCACGTTCCAGACAAAACTGGGCAGTCTCAGAATGATAGGTCACCTAGGTGCAGCACATACCTCTGAATCATCTAAGGAATCCCATCTGAATCATCATTGACCAAACGTCAAAATATGCCCAAGTAGAAACAAGTCTTTAAAACACCGAGGATAGGCAGGAGTAAAAGATGGATTAAGCATAAAAGTAAAATTCCTCCCTATTAAAACGAATCGTACTTCACAAAATATCATTGAACAATTAATTGAAGCAGTGCCTGTCATATTCTGAATTTAATTTTAGTCTAACAATTGGAGATGAAGCTTATGAAGATGGAGAGTTTAGCTCTACTCACAGGTATGTTACTTCCAATTCTAGAGCTGGCAAGAAGCATAACATTCATTCGTTCATTCATTCCCTTATTCAAACACGCACTGTTGATTCTGTAAACATTTGTTGAACATCAACTTTACACCAGGGACCAGGAATTCTGACAAAGATGAACATGACCTTTGGCTTCAAGCACTTCACAATCCAGTCTAGCACCTCACGTCCCAGTTGTGAATGATTTTAACTGGATAGTGGTCATTTAATTACTATCTCTATAAGAGATTCATTGCTCTGAGTTTGTATATTTGATACAATTCTCCAAATTTTCTGTTCTTTTAATGTTTATATAAAAGGCATCTTTAAAAAAGCAAATGTAGAAAGTGAAGTTTTTTAAAAAGGGTGCTACTCTTTCAATTATTGTATAGTTAATCAAAAGATATTTAAAAAATGCATAAGCCACTGGGAGATGTGCATATGAATTATTTTAGGTATGAGGCTAATCTTTTATATATAATGTGCATAATGAACAGTTAAAATATACAAACAAAGAAAGCATTAGGTGAATGAATGGTCTTGGCAGACCCAGAGTTAAAATGGTCTTAACACTCTAGCCTATTCCTGGAAGAGTTTTCTAAAATTTTTTTAACATAAAGAAGGGTATCTCAATGAAGTAGTTCATCTAAACCAAATACATTTATTTTGATGTCTTGTTTCCTAAGTGAATTAATTAATCTGAGTATTTTTTGTACTTCTGAAATTCAAATATCTTTTTATATTTTCTGTAGTTACTAGTAACCATAGCTAATTAGCTATGAATTCACAATCCATTAGGCAGGGTAATGATGTTCCTCCTATTTGTGTTCTTAATTATTCACCTAAAAGTGCAACTACCTTATGCCCTTTTTAGTTTATAATCCTAATTCATTTGTTTAAACAATATTCCTGAGCATAGAATATACGAAAGGCAGTATGCTAATCCCACTTAAAGAGTAAGAGATGCTTTATTTTTAACAAGTTTATAACCTAACAGAGAGAATAAGACATGCAATCACATTGCCACAAAACCTGAACAGAGTATGTGAGAAGTCACACAAGAGATCTGAGGTGTGAAATGAGTTGAGAGGAGGGGAGATCTCTATTGAGACAGGCCGAAGCCGAGAAGGTTTGAAGAAGCCGGCCCTTGAGCTGATACTGACGGAGGTAGATGTGAAGATGCACCAAGCTGAGGAAAGCACACGGTGGGGAAAAATGAAGTGTTCCAGCTGGCAAGGACACAATATAAGATAGAAAATTTGGAAGACAGGTTCCACCAAAGATTTGATTGCTTGAATACTATGTAATAGAGCTTTGAGTCTAAGCAATAGAAAACAAATAATAGTCAAAGAGAGAACATTCTTTCAAATTCAATCAAGGAAAATAGGTAGGGTTTAATACCAAAAACATGGTTTATTTTTCCACTTTGCAAATTGGCGTCTTGGCATTAAAGATACACTACTTCTCCTATTGGCCAATTATCGATCCACAGTCCCCTCTCCTTTTCATCCTACGAAGCAGTAGACAATTGTACAGGAACTATCCCCAAGAGATGCTGCTGAAGGTGTGGTTGGAAGGGGCTACGACAAGTCTCCTTTTCCTTGCCAGGAATACTTTAATTACTCTAAATCATTGCAAAAGCTACATGATGGGACTCATCTCAGTGATTCAGTATATGAGTCATAGCAACTCATTTCACGATCAATTGTGTTTTCCGTTGCAAATAATTGAATATTTCCCTCAATAGAGGATACACCAATGATACATCCATACAATGGTCTATTATTCAGCCATTGAAATGAGTGAGTTAGAGCTATACAAATTGACTTAGAGGGATTTCTTCAAGGTGGGATAGGTAAAAAATACTAATAACTAATTGAGTGCCTTTATATGCCAGCACTTTCCATATATTATCTTATTTAAAATCATCTCTTGCCCAGCCGGTGTGGCTCAGAGGTTGAGCATTGACCTAGGACCCAAGAGATCACCATTCCATTGCTGGTCAGGGCACATGTCTGGGTTTTGGGCTCCATCCCCAATGTAGGGAGTGCAGGAGGCAGCTGATCAATGACTCTCTCTCATCATTAATGTTTCTATCTCTCTCTCCCTCTCTTTGAAATAAATTTAAAAAAAAAAAAGAGGAGAAAAGAAAATTAAAAAAACAACACATCTCTTACTATGCTTAAAGTGAGGGGAAGGGACGCCCACTGTACCCCTTGGCATGGATGGGCCTCATAACACAATAATTCGCCTCAGACAAACCTTCAGTTTCCATCAACTCCAAGCCACTTCACTTTTCACCATTTTATTTCTGGATGGGGGTGAGGAGCTAAGGACAAGAAACTACTTGATACCATCTTCTTTGAAGTCCTATAAAAAGGGATCAACTCCTTATTTTGGAATTTGGGATTAGTTGGTCCCTATTGCTTGAAATCTTTGCCTAAATGGAGACATAGCAAGTCTCAACTTAATAGTGCTTTTAAAAGGCACTGAGCATGAAGAAAATTAACACTTACAAATGACTTACTCTATGCTAGCTTCTATTCTAGCTATTTTTTAAAATTATCTAATCTACCAATCACGGCTTTGTGAATCTACACTGATGGTTGATTTAAAACTCACATTAAATTAACATGAATTTTTATCTTAATATTGAATAAACAAATTAAGAAATAAATAAATATAGGAGGGATATAAAATTAAGAAATATGGTAAACTAAAGAGAACGTGTTTTATATATTTTACTTAGAAATAGCATATATTTTGGAACTTCTTCAAACTTTTCCTTAAGCGAAAAGTGAAACTTTGTGCCTGCAGCCTAGTCTACTGCATCATGGGTAAATTACATCAGAACATTTGCCATTGTGTGTCTTTCCTGTGTTTATGCGGTCACAGCGCACCCTTCCTTTAATTTTTCTTACCTTTGTTCCTATAAACTCCCTAGTTTGATTCCTCGTTACCGCAGTCAGCGTTAACAAAACAACTTCTCGGCTGATTTTCCAGCTCCAGTTTTAGGCTCTTTCAATTGTCCCTGAACATTGCTGCAAGACTAATCTTCACAGCACACTGTTGTCACGTGGCTCTTTAATCCAAAAAGGGTACCAAGACGTCCTACGTTAGTAAAGTCTCCTGGGAGAAGTGATTAAGCACAGATCCACTACTTCTTGACTAGTCATTTGCAAAAGTGAAGGATACCACAGTTAGATATCTAAGAAACATCATACAACCCAACAAAATGCATTCTATTCTTTATTTGCAGCTCCAGACTTGGGTCCAAGCCCCAATCTCATTCCACCCCAATGTAGCTTTGTCTCATTTATCTTAGATCACCTCAAGTCTACACAGTATTCTCTTTGGGCTCTACTCCAGGTACTTCCCTGTTCTGCAAGAACACGAATGGTTACCCTGAGCAGGAACTTACCCACCGGCTGCCTACAATTCCATGAGCATTCCATGAGACAGGAGTGCAGGAGAAAGATTTGGAGGAAAGGTCCTCAGCTCAGTGTCTTTACAATTTCTTTACTACCCTAAAAAGCTCTAGGCCTAACAGAAGCTCTGTTTCCCTGCACCCCACTCCTGGAAGTCAGAGCATTTATTAACATCTACCAAAACAAATTCACATTTTTCGTTGTACTTAGAGCAAACCATATACACCCCAGCATCATTTGCTTGAAATTGAATCACAGAAATACAAGCAGAGTGCAAACAAAATGTAAAAGTCTTCATAAATATCTGGGGAAAGGTTTGATCGTTTCACTCATTCATCCGTTCATTCATTCACTCAGTAAATATCTTGGGCTAGAGCATAAGTTCTACCTTTCAATTTCAGCAGATTTGTCTTTCCAATAGTTACAAATTCTAAGGCCCACTAGAAATAACAGGTATGTTGAGTAAGTATCTGAAAAGGGAAAAATGTCAAAGAAAAACTTCTTCAGACAATCAAGACTCCCTTTGCCTACTTAATTCATTAATTTATTCATTCATTTAATATTTTTGAGTGCTTAGTTTTAATGTCAGAATGCATTTGGTTTGGGAATTGAACAGTAAAAGAGGCCTGGTATCTGCCCTCATGAAGTTAATAATTCAGTGACAGCTGACAAGTCAGGTGACAAGAAAGAAAGAGAAAACAGGTAAGAGATAAGAATGCAGAAAGCTAAAGGACAGAGATCTTTCAGAAGGATGTGACATTTGAGTTGAACTTTAAAAAAGAAACAGAGTTGGATTTGTAGGAATTTGGGGAAAAGGGCATTGGGGAATGGCATGCAAATGTATTACAGATGTATTATCAATGAATAAACTGGAAATTTACATTTTGACTCCAGTAAGATTTTTATTACAGGATTTTTATTTTATTATTTTATTTCATTTTATAGGAAAATTAGGAAAGAAAAACCCCTCAGATGTCTGGCCACCCAACCAGATGATCTAAAACAGTGGAAGCTCAGAGGAAGGATCCTGAGAAGGAATGGGGTGCACTAAAGATAAAATTCTATACTCTTTAAATTATGAGTTGGGACATTTTGACTATTGCAATGTTATCCTAAGGGCCTAAAAGAATCCCAACTTAATTCAATTTATACAATACACATGCAATAAACACGTTTCCTTCCACCAGCACAACCCTGTAGAAAAGCCAATTCCTTGCATTTGTACAGACTTAAAAGGCCATAAGAGTCTTACTTTGCCCATGAGAAAATGAGAACCCAGAGAAGTTAAGTAAGCAAAATTACACAGAACGTGGTGGCAGGGGCAGGTAAGCAAGAAAGAGTTCAGTATTGCATCTGCTACACCAGACTGAAAAAACCAATATATCGCACAAGGGAAAGTTTCTGTAGAGCTTCATGAAAACCGTTTTCTTTCCACAATCACTTTGGTAAGCTAAGCTTTATATTTTCCCTCTGCTGTTTATAAAGTGTGCCAGTAGCAATAAATCTTTGAATGAGATGATTAAAAGCACACGATTTATTAATCAAATAATTTTTTTAATAAAAAAA